ATTTTGTACAAACAAACAAAAAATATTGAAAAATATAAAAACAATAAAAAATTATACTTCAGATGTTAATTTAGTATCAAAAACGTAAAATATTTGAGTAGCCCGAGAAATAGCCGAAGATTGCAGCGCCACAGCACTAGCGTAAATTTAAATTTGCGGACTGGAATGCTTTCGGATAACGGACGTTTCGGATAACCAGCTTTCGGATAAACGACGCTCTACTGTATATTAAAATACATATTAATTAGCTCTTTGCTTTATCAGAATAAATGAATATCAACATAACCTACATTCTTCCAGACCTATGAAACATACTGTATAATTCAAAATAAAAAGTTTTTGTTTCGTGTATATTTACCAACATATCAAAATAGCATACATATGTATTAGTATAAAAATACTTAAAGTAGTTATTAGTTTAGAGCACTCAAATAAGAACTTACATTTTATCAAATTCTGCTTTTAGAACGAAATTCTTTTTGACAGGAAATGCAATATTGTAATTAATAACAGTGTCTTTTGACTTTACAAACAAATTCTCTCCTCTCTGTTTTGTAACTGAATCTGTTTTGTAACTGAATCCTTGATCCAAAAAGTGCAAATTTCTCATTCAAAGAATGCTCTATTCCTTTTTCATAACTAAGAAAACAATTTTCTGGATGATTTTTTATGTGATATCTAAAAATTTTAAATGGACCATTTTCAACATTCTAGAAATACAAATGGAAAAAGAAATATATTTTTAAAATTGCTTACTAGTATCTACGTAAGATTGTATATAAATCTGTTAAAAATTTGTAACTTTTCTAAAAAGTAAAATTATAAACAAACTGATTAATGTCAGTAATAATTTTACCATAATATATTGTTCTTCAAATGCCAAACATATGCATCCACAAGAATACTCTCCTTTTATTACGGCATTTATCAGTTCTGCCATAGTATTTGGTACATGTTCATAGACAGGATGAGTTAAATAAGAAAATAATACACCACAATAACCTGAAATAATCACCACTGTTGCCAATAGCCAAATACCAATAATAATTCTTGTGGTAGTATCTCGAATATGGCTTATTATATCTCCTGTTAAATTACATATATGACAAATGATAAAATTAATTGTAAAAAAATTGTAACATCAATGGTTTTATCAAATCTTTTTATCATGCAAAGATATAATCTTAATTACAATAAATAATTGCATGTTTTAATACTTAAATTATTTTATCAAAATTTGTACAAATTTTATTGCTAACGTTATAGAAATAACTATAAAAATGCTCACCTTGTGATATCAAAGTTTGAAATAAAAACAAAAAAGTTTCTTTTATTGACCATACTTTCTGATTACCTTGAACAATATCATTTCTTTTTTGTATTATTAGATAAAGTAACACACCAGTCACTATTGTTGTAACTGATATCATTAACCAAACCTGTAATTATAAAAATATATTTGTCTAATTCTTAATGTACAATTTATTTGTATAATTATCATATTTACTGCCATTAATAATAAATAATAAATTGTATTTTTACTTATAAATATTAAATCTTAAGCGAATTAATTGTAAACTAATAAATGACATCTGAAACTATATATGTAGAGTAAATTGGGTTTATCTGATAGAGAATGGAAAGAAACACATTGTCGATTTAGTAAGGTGTTTGAGTTGACTGGAGTTATGACAAACAATGCTTCATTTAACTGTTAGATATGTACAGAAGCGTAGAAATTTAAGATCGAAACTACCACAAACCAGTAGTGTTCAGTGATTTTCATTCACTCCGCCACTGATGGGCCCTTTTACAACTGAGTCTTGCTCTACAACTGGCAATCTTCATATGGTCTTATATTTGTGAGCTTTTTAGTATGGAATATGTTTGATTGCGTTAAATATACAGCACTTCGTTAAAATTTCTGTTTAAATATTTTAAGCCTATCTATTAACTTGCTAATTGTTTTGAAAAATATTATTACTGCATATCGATAATGATATATATATATATATACTACAGTCTCGAAATCTGATAGTTAATCGTGGATTCCTGTCCTACGAAAATGTTGGTTAATTGGACTACTCCGGGTTGTCTCAATTTCCTAATACTATCAATAATAAAAGCCAGCTTAACGTAGTAAGTCTTCATAGTTCCTGTGTGTCGCGTAGCCAAATAGTCTCAAACAAAATTACTCTAGTAAGATTATATAAAGGATTCGCTAATAAGAAAAAAAAAAACAGTTGGCCTATACTATTTTTCATTCGAATGAAATCGCAAATTTACAAAATAAACTTTATTTACAATTATGAGTTATTCAAACATTATTTAATTAATATTTTTGTATTGTTTAGTGTTGAAGTATTATTTGTTAATTATAATTGTTATTGTTAAAATTATTACAAGTGACTTTATTATTAGTTACATTCGAGGCCAATAATGATATTATACTTCATTAAAATACAGAATATAAAATAGCATAATTTAATAATTTTTACTATACCTCTTTTGCAAATGGTCTAATTATGGTTGTTAATTTAGAAAGTTGTTTAGGAGCCGAAACAACAAAGATAACTTCATCGGAATCAAAAGAAACTGTATAATCTACAACTTGAAAACTTTCATAATTTACGTAGGTTGAAAGTAATACAAAATCAATTTCCTAAA